TGAGCTCAGAAGGAGCCATTAAGAAGGAAATGAAGTAAAATATAGGATGAATGGGCTTTGATGAAAACAATAGTTGTCTGGGGCTTAAACAAAGGATATTCCAGAGCACAGATGAATTTCAGTTTGTGTTAGTCCTTTTCTTCTTGTGAATGCCTTTTCCAGGTCTGCTGTATTTCCAGCTTTACCCCTGAATGAAGCTCCTGTACATTCAGTTTGAGTGTGCCTAGCAGAGAATTGATTTGTTTCTCTGACAGTAGTTTGTAGTTTTGTTTTTTGATCTCACTTCTCTCATTTACAGCCTAGCACTTAGAAAGGGGTCTTTCTGTTTAATTCTGATGTCACTTCCCACAAAGAAATGTCAGGCACCAAAAAGGAACTGCCATTTCAGAAATAAGGAAGGCCCAGATCTTTTGTATCCCTGAACCTCGGCAGACAGAGAAAGTAAAGGATAAAGTTAATGAGACAGGAGGAAGTGTAAATTGATTTTACTGATGGATGATGCAGTTTGATAATAGTTGATCCCCAGGTAGACTCTTGAACTTTTCACAGATAGCAGCAGAACTTGAGACTAGAAAAGACAAATAATACCTGACACCCATAAAGAGAAGGACAAGAGAGGGACCCTACCTGAAACCTTGGACAAAGGCAGAAAAAGTCAAGAGGATCCTGCTTTACCAAGATACAAGTCAAGCTGTCCTGCTTGCCAAAGCCAGGCTTTCACATCATTCTGAGCTCACAGCACCAATGTCATTCTTCAATAATGAAGTCACCTTCAAAGCATTGAGAAAAAGACATACATCAGTGCATGAAAGCTGATTAAATGGCTAGTTTCAAGAAACATCGTGTGTAGTGGGTGAGGGATTGATTAGTCCCTCAGACAACAATTTTCCCTCTAACAGTTAAGGAATGGCATTCCAACACCAATCTCTCCTAGAGCAGCTTGGGACAGAGGGATACTGTTGCCCAGATGTTCAGTAATAGGTGTCAAAGAGGTGTCTGCAGGCACTCAAATACTATGACTATGAATTTAACATAAAAAAATCCAAACCAAACAACCAAGTTGCATGATTGTACCCAGGATGGTCAGAGTAGTTTTCAACTCCAGTTCTTCTGAGTCTGTCCCTGTGGTGGTCAGCACTGAAGTAATTTAGGTCCCTTCTTTGGAGTCCTTTGGCTCATCCTCTGAGGAATGTTTGTAATCCTGTACAGGAAACAGCAATAACCTGTTGGTGGAGATCACTACTGTTTGTGGATTTCTGTGTAGTTCTGGCTGTACTTACATTCATGACTGAACAGTGAATATTTCTGCACTGTCAAAAGCTGGATGGTGTCTGCAAAGCAAGGTCAATGATATGCTCTTGTTCTATATGAAAGTTGTGGGAGTTAATTTATTAGAAGAAAGGTGCCCCAGGAAAGCCAAGCCATGCTAATCACAGTCTTGCAATGCTGCAGATGGGAATTAAAATCCTCTTTGTATACACATCAGAAATCAAACTCCTCCTGCATACAGTGAGAGGACACTCCTAGATCTCTCCTTAATGGCTCACACAGCTTCCTGAAAACAGATTAAAAACACATCTCTGAAAGCAACAAGGAGCCATGCAGCCATATCTGAGGCATTCCATTTGATAAAATAAATTAACAAGCTACAGAAAAAAGGAAAATGTGATATCATTTTTCCAACCAGCTGGGTGAAGTAAGAAGTAGTTGAACAGAACTGTTCAGAGCAGAGCAACACACCTTCCCTTGACTCCCTAGGACCTGCACCCTTTCCTTGGGATCCACAGGCTCAAAAGCCTTGCAGGGCCCAACGAGCTTATCTTCCTTTGCCATCACAGATGCCTAAAAGGGATGTTCAGGAGCAGAGGCTGGATGCCAGGCTCAGTCCTGCTAAAGGCATTTCTGCCTGGAGTGGGAGGCAAGGGAATGGGCAGACCCCCAGCTCAAGTGCTCCCAGGGCTGACATGCAATCATAGCCACAGCTGAATACTCAGCCCCTCCATCCCCCTTCTGATTTCTTATTTTGATAGGCAGTTAACTTTGTCTACATTTAAAATATCAGCACAGGGCATGGGAGTTGGCAGACGCGGAGGTGAACAGGGCAGGTCAGAGTTATTGTTCCAGATTCTGCAGCACATCACTTAGCATGGAAAAGACAGATCAAATGCATCTCAGCAACCCGACCATCCACAGCTTCTCATTTACTTTCATCTCTTTTTGTAGGCAAGTTTAGATTTTGGGGAAGCGAGTTATGCCTCGGACAGTACCTGTCCCTGTTCAAACCCTCCACAGACTCAAGTGCTGCCTTACCAGTGTCACACCAAACCAGGTGTGACAGGATGCAGCCTCATTTGGTATGTGGGGAAGGACAGACTGGGGAGCTAAACCAGTGGTTTTCAACCATTTGCTGATTTGGAAATCACAAGTGTCCATAGGCCGCAAGTCAAGGTCTACCAAGCCCCAGTATTTTTACATAATCTGTATTTGCTAAATTTTAAATATCATATGCACAAAATTGAGTTTGGTAGATAGAACACTGTAAAAAAAAAATCAACAATAACAACAAAACCACAAAACAAAACAAATAATTCCCACAAACACACACACAAATAAAAAAAATAGTGAAGTACATCTGGAAAACGAACCCATCTACCGTTACTGGTGAAAGAAGGACAGAAAATATAATGGTTTTTTGTTTTTTCATTATAAAGTTCACTTGAAGTCATCTTTCCTCAGAAAGACTGAGAAAAAGTCAAAGAAAACATCAGTCTGAGAATCAAATGTGAGACCACACCTCAGAAAAAGAATGATCATAACAATTCCTTTCTGTAAATCTGACTCTTTTCCTGCTAGAAACAAATTCCAAGCACAAAGAATTATCTTTGTGCTGAAACAGGTGAAGGATAACAGAGTCAAGCAGTTATATGTGCCCTGGAGTTTATAAGGAAGGGAACTTCCTATAGATTTACAACATCAGTGAGTAAAAGGAAAGTAACAGAACCAACATACTTGGCATTAAACCAGCATTCGGAAGACTGAATCACAGAATTCTGAATGTAACTAATTCACATCTCTTTTGACATAACAGCACCCACATAATTTGAGAACTGGCTTAAGAATTGTGAATAAGGAATAAAAATAGCAAATAATTGAGCAGGAAAAGATACTTAATGTGTTTAAAACGGATCATGGTAGTGCTGTGTTAGAGTTCAGATCAAGACTTTCAGTGTGATTTAGAAGAGACTACAATTGATGAAATTATCAGATGGCAGAGAGACACATGTTGAATAGCAACGAGGACAAGAAAATAATTCCAACAGGTGCCGAAAAATAAATTTTAAAAATCATGTCAATCTATAAAGCCACAAACCTAGTGATTCCTGCTCTCCTATAGATTGCATTTTTATATCACCATCACCCTGGATCTCACTTGGGCCCATTCTATAATACGCCCCACCCCACACCTTCTCAGTTCCTTCCCATGCCTCCACATTTCTTACTTTCCATAGGATTCTCCATATTTCCACCCACACTTCCAGCCTGTTTTGGCTTGGGGAGGCAGAGCAGATGCTGTCGCTGGTTTCAGAATCTACCCTGCTTGGTACATTCTATTGTGCTCTTTTACCTAGAACACTGCAACTGTGATCTTGGCAGAAAATTATCAAAAACCAGAGCAGAGTGTGGGACTTGGAGGACAGATTTCTGATGTGAGGCCTAATAGTATTAAACACCAGAGCTAGATTCTCTGATGCAGCCAATGTCCATTAGGATACTCCTTTACGCACCCTAGTCCTGGCCCTGGCTTGCACTCACTTTAGCTCCAGGCACAACTGAGCAACCTCAGAACAACATCTGTGTGACACCTGCAAGAACGTAGTATGGCAATGTACTCACCAAGGTGATTGTTTTTTTTCTAGACAAGAGTCTTAACTTGTCCCCTATCTGCTGAGATAAATCTGGAAGATTTATCTGGCTTGAAGAACCAGTCTCATATAAACAGTTTTAACTAGGGAATAGTCAAATAGGAATACACTGTCTTCCCACAGAGACAGGGGGAGAGGAACAGGGTTGGAGGGAAGGAACTAAAGGACCTTTATTGTCCCCTCCCTTCATTAGTACACGGTTGTAACACGTAACCAAAAGTACAGCAAGTTGTAGCATGGGCCTGCCTTTATGTTCTGGCTCCCCAAATCTGCAGGCTGAGAGCACTATGTAAGGGATTATTTAGTTCTGATGCAGAGAAGAAGCAAGAAAATTTAAATGAAGCTGGGAAGAGGAAAATATTACCTGAATGTTGGCCCAAAGATTCCTGCCACTCTGACATAAGAGACCCTAGAAGGATTGCTTCCTCGAGGAAGCAATGCCATAGGGCAAAAGAGCTGCCAGGAGTGGCCACCAAACCGGGCCAAGGGTGGCCCAAGGTGAGCACGGCAGGGAAGGCCGAGAGAAAAGGCTGCGGTTTCACGGCGGCGAGGTGGGCTGAGGAAGCGGAGCGCGGGCAGCGCTGGGCGGGCGGCACTGCTCCCGGTGTGCCGGGTGTGCCCAGGAGCTGCCCCGTTCCGGTGTCCCGGGTGTGTCCCGGGTGTGTACCGGCTGTCTCCCGGGTGTGTCCAGGAGCTGCCCCGTTCCGGTGTCCCGGGTGTGTCCCGGGTGTGCCCAGGAGCTGCCCGATGTCCCGGTGTCCCCCATGTCCCGGTGCCCCCATGTCCCCCTGTCCCCATGTCCCTCGGTCCCCATGTCCCGGCGTCCCTGTGTCCCGGTGCCTCCATGTCCCCATGTCCCGTTGTTCCCGTGTCGCTCTGTCCCCCACGTCCCGCTGTCCCCACGTCCCTCTGTCCCCGTGTCGCTCCGTCCCCCGTCCTGCTGTCCCGGGCTGTCTCCTCAGCGGCCCCGCTGCGCTCGCACGGCGCCCCCTGGCGGGCCGTTCCCCTGGCGGCCCTCAGGGCACCGCGGGCCCGCCCGGACACGGCCCGGACAGAGCTCGGACACGGCCTGGACACGGCCCGGACAGACCCCGGACAGAGCCCGGACAGGGCCCGGACAGGGCCCGGACACGGCCTGGACACGGCCCGGACAGAGCCCGGACACGGCCCGGACACGGCCGAGGTGTTCGGGGCTCGGCGGGAGAAACGGGCCCCTAAGCCACGACCGATGAGGGAGTGCGCTGGCGCTCTTGTGCTCCGAAACTGATTTCACGCGTTCAGGACGGTCGGGCGCATTTTGTCCATCACCTCCGATGGGCTTCAGCGAACACTCGGGAGCACTATGAATTCTTAGACTCAGAGGAGCTGTGTAAAAACCACACTTAAGCCCTGTAAGTATAAACTAGAAAAGTAGCTTACTGTTCCCTTTACCTGTCTTGTTTTCAGCTTAAATTAATGACATTTATACAGTATTATTAACAACTAATCTGGAGAAATTTCACTTTGTGTGTCTGCTGGTGAATATGGCTGACCATAAATTCTTACTCATTTTTTGGTGTGAATCATGCTATTTCATAAAATGCTTCTATGGATGAGATTCTTTTTGTCCAGGTACTCTGAAATCAGCAAAATCAACAGCATGCTCATCACTTTATCTTTTTAGTCGTACAAAGCTGATACCTTCTTCTCCAGGCAAGGAGATTAGTCAGGAACATTTTTAAACCCTTTTTCCATTCACAAAATTTAAGCTTTTTACAAGAAGGGCTTTTAGAAATACACAGTCATTTACCAGCTGGTGGAGCTCAATAAATAGCAGGAAGATTTGTCCACAAACATCCCCTGAATTGGAAGAGAGTTGTGACTCAGCCACCTTTATTAACCTTCTGCTTTAATTTCCACAAAAGCTGATGCCTTTGGGATATTGCTACTTTTCTACTTCTGCTGGCAGGAAGCATTACAAATGCACTGAATTTACTGTGGAGTTGCCACCACCTCGACCTACTGAAGTTCTACAGAACAGGTTTCCTTGGCACAAATATAAATGTATAACTTTATGTAGAACAGTTGTAACAGATGTGGGTAGGCCCAGTTATCAACTGCTGAAATTGGTCAAAGCATTACCCCACGTCTATCATGAGATCAAATATGAACTATAAAACACCTAATTCTGATAAAAGAACCCACTGGGCTCCAGTGGAAATCTGCCTGTTGAGCCCAGCAAGCCTAGAATGAGGCCCTGTCTGCAGGGGAACATTTAGTCCCTGAAAAGGTACCCCAGACCTTTTTGTCTTTTGTCATTTGTAGTATGATCTGGGGGAAAACACTGTAATTAATGTAAATGAGTGAAATATCATGTGTCATCTTGCAAACGCATTTGCAACAGAATTGAATATTCAACATGGACACCTGCTCAAAGACCCAGCTAGAAGATGTTTTAAAACTCCCAGAACTACAAACTTTTCTTGTTGTTTCCTTGGAGACACAAGGGATACTTTCATACTTTCCTCAGCACTTTGAATGCTAAAACGTACCTTAAAATTAAAACAGAAAGTGTTAAACATTTAAATCAGAAACTAAGTTTTCAAAGAAAAATACAAAATGCTTAATGAACAGCTACAATAAGTAGGTTATTTAATTTGGGAGCATGAATATTTCTGTTAGAAATTATGATTGAATTTCTATATGTTCTAGACTAATTGAAAAAAATTTCTCCTTATACAATCATTAGAATTAAGACTTGTCCACTGTCCTAAGTACTGGAAGAAATTGTGAAAAGCATTATACTAATGCTTTTTCAGGCTGCAGAAGCAGAGACAGTGGTGTGATCTAATCAAGCACACAATTGCCAACACATCTTTTTGAAAAGTTCTGTTTGGACTCTCTTTAGACCATTCCTGTGCTAGTAATTTTTCTGATTGTGAAACGTGCATACTGTTTGGGCTTAACTAAAGAAACCAGGAGGTTTTACTGGGCCAGATCACTCTCACACAGGAAAAAAATAAAGTGTGGGCTTTATTCTAGGTATACAAGCAGTGCCACAGAAGTAGTTGGAATTTAAGCACATACTTTATATTAAAAGCAAACGTTCAACTGTTTTGCAGGATCAAGAGCTGCAAGTCTTAGTGATGCCATGGTTTCTATGACAACTAAGTGTGATATTACATGAAGGATTATTATTTAAAGGAACACACATCTGGCCTTTTCCCCTGATGTGGTCCTAGTTTATCCTGCACGTACCTTGTGTACAAATCTGATCATCTTTGTGGTATCACTGAGCCCACAACCAGGAAGGGCAGGCCTCAGCAGACCAGGCAGAAAGCTAGTGAAGGGCACTCTATTCCTGGAGATTTCAAGGAGAAAAAAAAAAATTCAGACTTGGGGCTGCATTGTCCTTTCAGGCACAGCTGCAGCCCAGGGGCTTGCTGATAGCTGTGGATACTGCTGCAACAATGCAAGAAATGAAGTGCCTGGTAGAAAGCAGCAGGTGCTGTGCAGCCACACTCCCTCCCTTCACAGCTCTGACAAGGTTTCCTGCACCCCAAGCTGTCCTGGGGCTGGCTCCACATCCTGTTGAAGGCTCAAACTGTGGAACTGTTAACCCAAGCCTGGTCCAAGCAGGTCAGAGTCCCTCAGTCTCCATCCTCCACCCCAGCAGTGATCTCTGCTGGCTCGCTGCTCCTCTCATCCCTGAGCTCTACAGAAACTCCACTTCCACCCTGCTTTCTGATTAACTTATTCTCCATTTGTCTCTGTAGGGAACATGTTTGATCTCTTGGAGATATACTCCAGCAACCTCCATGGTCCTCAGTGATCTCTGCAAACATAACCAGAGAGGTATTTTCATCCCTTGGCAGCAGGTGTCAAAAGTAATTCCACACAACTTAGTGCTAAAAGCTAGCCCAGACTAGCTACTTTGGAACAGACTAGCTAGTAGGAAATACCTGAGAAAAAGTAAACTCTCTCCCTGTCCTTGGTGTAGGAACAGCAGCCTCCTCTTTAACTGAGAGTGCCTAAACCCAGCCCTGCATGCCCCCAGCAGCCAGAAGGCTGCAGCACGTTCTCAGCTGCTCACGTGCTGTTGCCCAGTTCATCTCGGCAGTTCAGCCATTTTGGGTAGGAATATCTCCTCTGTCTCACTGTCTCATTTTCACAGAGCAGTCTGGCTCTGGGCTGCTGTGCATTCAGGACACACTGATTCACCTGCTGCTTTTACAAGCAAATGACTGCCAGTGTTTCAGATTTGTTCAATGGCCCTTTTAAGTACATGGCTAGCTTTGTAGCAAACAGCTCCCTTTCGATTAGGATAAATGCTTTACGAGGGAGACTAGTGCCACTGCACTTGTGAAGTCATGATATTCCCTACAAATAAATTCAGTGACTATAAATAGCCAGAACATCTTCCATCCCATGAGATTATGAGCTTCTTCCTTGCAAAACAGATGAGCTCATTGAGAGATAATTTTGTGATAGACAGATAGCTTCAACATAAGATTAAGCCCATCATCATTAGTCCAATTAAAGCTTCTTTTTATACCAGTAAAATAATTGATGTGCTGATAAACTGCTTCAGTTCATTGTTACTGCAATATCCACAGCTGCTCTGAACACATCCATGTAATCAATATGGCCCACTAAAAGGTTTCTAAATGAGTTAACTCTTCCAGGAATCAGCTGGATTTCTGAGGACTATTGCGCTTTTTGTTCTGTGTTTCTTTTATTTACAGAGCTATTAAGTCCAATCACAAGCTGATCGCACACACTCGAGCGGAGCATAATATGAATGTTGCCTGCTATTATTGTAATAGAAGTTGAGCAAGAGAACCTGGCCTTGAGGCTACTTTTCCCATATTAAAAAAATAGCTAACCCAACCTGCATCATTCTGACAGAACTAGGTTAGGGAGTGACTGTGTGTGCAGTCACATTGGCAGAGCAGGATGTACCGTGAGGGACAGCAGAACAGGAGGCAAAGACAGGGAGCTCTCACTCCAATTCAGCAGCAGCCAGAACAGCCCCTCTCAGAACAGCCTCAGCAACGTGGCCAGAAGGGCCCATTTCACCTCCATGCCAAGCTGCAGCCAGCACTGAAGACAAGCTGGGGCTCCAGTCTTCTTGTTCCTCGTCAGTGCCATCGCCCCCAGTCCCTGTGCTGCAGGTGCAAACAGCTGTGCAGCTCCCAGGGCAGCAGCTCAGGGCAGCTGCAAACGGAATTCTTGTGTAAAGGTGTGGCTGTAGGTACAGCCATTAGGTTCCTGCCCTGCTCGCTGGGGTAATTAGAAGCATTCTCAGGAGCCACAGAAAATCTCTCTAAATGCCTTACTTTACTGCAGGTCCAGAAGAAACAAATCTCCCAGGTCAGCCTCTCCCTGCCCTACTTCAGGGACTGTGGGGAAGACAAGCCTGCACATATTTATTAAGGGGCATGGAGCTTTTGTTGTTGGCTGCAATTAAAAAACCCAACTGAAATGCCACACTTTTAGAAGTTTTGTTAACCTGCTATGAAGCAAATGTTTGAACTTCAGATTTACTCATCTACCAATCTCTCTTTTGAATCACATCCTTCATGCACTTGCCACATTTGGGAGATAAAGGGTTTTAGCAACTGCAGATACCTATGCAGAAGCAATTACTTTTTCCTGATGCCTGCAGCATACCATGAGAACTTCACACTGTGAAATGCAACTGTCCAGTCTCCTCTCACGGTTCACTGCCAGCAGCCTCATACCAAGCACTAACGCTGGTGCTGCACATGCACTAGAGGAGCTACAAAGAGGTAAGTTTTCATACTTAGAAGAAATCACATACATACATCCCACTATGGGGGCTAGGCAGTAACCTAAACAGAGATTTCCAGCTGTTTGTTGCTATGTGCTGCTGATGTTGCCACTAGAAATGCAAAAAGGCAACTCTGCATTTCCCCTGCTGAAACACAAACCTTTAATGAGTTTATTTTGAATTGTGTCTCAAAAACCAGGCAGAGATAGGTAGTAAGCTGCACAGCTTTAAACAACTTGTCAAAATCCTTCCAGGAAACAAAATAGCATACATTTTTTGGAGGGGTTTCCATCTGTCTGAATTTCTAATTTGATTATTGCACTCACACAGCTCAGATGGGATTTAGCTGAAGCTGCGTTCCTGAAGTTTTTTTCATACCAGGATGGCACCTACCTAAGAAAATTCTTAAGCTGCTGAGCTGCAACTCAGACCCCAGGTCTCCTCTCTGCCTTCTTCAGATAAGAAGGGTCATCCAGCCACAGGTCCCAGTGTCCCCAGACAGGTTGCCCCCAAATGTGCCAGGCACAGCTGCAGGGGGGCAGCTGTAACAGGAGTGCAGCACTGAGCTCTCCAGACTGCCTCTGCCTCTGGCCATCTTAGCCCTCCTCCATTTCTGCTGGTTCTGGTACCACATTTTGTCAGTTGGTTTGGTTTAAAATCCCTTTGGAAGTTGTTTACAAAGGCTTTGGCTCATGAGAAGCACAAGGCCTACTTTGAAAGGGTGGTGTGCCCAGAGGCAGTGAATTCTACATTGCTTCAGTGGTAGAACTCCACCTTAGAGTTCCCATCCAGGGAAAGGAGCCAAAGATAGCTGCCTCTTCCAAAGAAAGATCTTCTGGAGTCTATATCACCCCATGTTTTGAAATTTCCAGGGGATCACATGAGTCATGGTGAAGTGAGAAGCAGCATTTACACTCAACCTTCACCAAAAAAGTGCAGCATCATCTGTGTTGAGGATACCATCTTGTTTCAAAAATCCCACATCTGTTAGAATCCATTAGGCTCCTATTATAACATATAGTGACTAAAAAGAATTGCTTTTTCCCTGGTGTTTCAGTCATTTTGCTCTGTGTGCCTGGCAGCATTTTGCAGAGTTTCACTGTTGCCCCAAGGCTGTCAATCAGTTTTCCGTGTTGTTTGTGTGGGCTTTTCACACACAACACAGAAGAGGAAAACACTGAAAAAACCCCAGGAAAATGTGATTATAATCCACTTAAAACAGCCAGCAGGGGGATGTGCAGGACCAAGAACTGCTCTGACTTTTTGAAAAAAGTGAATGCATTTCAAATTTCCTATGCCTAGTTACCTGTAGAAAATATAATCTCTTTCTATAACAAAAGAGCACAAGTCATCAGCCTATCACTGTCTATGGCAATTTCAAAATCAGCTGAAGAAACACAATTTCATCTCTGTTGATTAAATGATATATGGCTATGTAGGTTACATGAGCATAAGAAGTCAGCGATCAACTCCTGCCTAACATTTTTAGAAACAAGCTGGGTAACGTGTTGCTCTTTTTAGGATGGGAAAAAGGTATGTAGTTATTAAGGCAGGAAAGCCTTAATAAAAAAGATATTTTGGATTTCTCCCCCCACCCCCAGTAAACAATAATTAGCTCTATTGTTTACAGATCTTTAATTTTACTTCTGTTGGTTTAACCAGTTATGGGCTTCAGTCCCCAAAGATAAGATCTGCAGCCCTCCAAGGAGGGGCACTGCTTTGAGCTTTTCTGTCCCAGCAGCTGAAGCTGCTCCTCTGCACACCGATCTGATCCAAGAACTGCACCTGAGAGCTGAGGCACAGGAAGCTCCATGGCCCTCAGTGTGAGCGATTTCGGAGCAATTCCCTTGTTACCCTCCTCGGTGCTACTATTTGTCACCTTTTACAGAAGAGCTGCTTTAAGAAAAACCATCCAGGACGTGTAGAGCTCCTACCTACACAGGGATGGGGCTCATAGTATTTTTTGTGATTTTCGTGTTTGTGAGCAGACTTGGTGGTTAATACAAGCAGTTTTCTTCACACACCTACTAAGCCAAGTGCCATCCCCATCAGGTCCGTGTTGTTCTTCACAATCCAGGCAAAGCAGCAGGAACAAGAGGGAAAGGGCAGGCTCATGCCTCCACCAGAGAAGGACATTTCTCACATTGAAAAATGCACACTTTCTGTGTGCAGCAGGACGTGCAGTCAATGCCGAAGAGCTGACCAGAAGATGGAGACAGAGGAACACTTTTGGAAGCACACTGGGACCCTGACCTTCGGCTGGGCAGGAGCTGCCCTTGGAAGCAAGGGAGGAGCCAGACCCATCTCACGGGACACAGGGATGGAGAGCTGTGGTTAATTAAAGGGACATTTCTGCTCACCAAATCCGGTTTGCTCTGAAAATCTGAATTTTTCTAAAAATCTGTAAAGTTTGAGTAAAAAAAAAAAAAAATTACATCTACAAATCTTTTGAGGCAGAAGGGGAGAAAATAACTCTTAATATTCTTAAGACATCATGGCTCTTTCTCAGAAGGCCGTGCAGACACTACACTCTTTGGCAGGTATCTCCACACAAGAAGCCAGTGACACTCAGATAAACCTGGAGCATTCCTATGATATCACAGCAGCTACTATGGGTCAGCATTCATCCAGAGGAGATCAGAACATTCAAAGGACTTTCAAAGATATTCCTTATATGGTTGTTTTCTTCTCCTACTGAGCTGATGTGCAAGTTCAGAAAATGCTCCTTGAATTAAACTGAACTATTAAGTTAAGCAAAGTGTTCTATTTCTAGGCAACAGTTCCTATTAATTTAAGTCACACTAATTTTACTATTCAGTGTCTTGGCAAAACCACATGTATTTCCAGTATGGGATTAAATGTTTCTGGTAAATTTAGTGTTCCTGAGAATCTACAACATACTTTGTATTCTGAAAAAGCACCTAGCAATCTATTTTTCTGAGGTTCATAAAGCCTTCACCTGTTTACCAGTATTTACTTTGTCTCAGACTGAAGTCAACTGGAGAATTAATTCTGTATGATAGCCAGACAGAGTTATGATGGAGTTTTATCATATGAGTGCAGCACAGGATGGTTTGATGAACAATTTTCAGTGCAGATTCATTGACAGTGGTTACAATTTAGTATAAAAAGGAAAGTATGATCACATTAATGTTCCAAAGCTAGTCTATTCCCTTTTATTAAACTACCACATTTTCACAGGGGAAAAACTCAGTTTGGAGAAGCAGTGTTGCTCAATATTTATCCATGACTTCTTTCCCTTTCAGTTTCCATTTATTTAACTTTTCCCAACCCATTTTCAACTAGGGACACTGGAAACTATTCAAATCTGTCCTGATCAATCTTATGTTCCTATCTTGTATATGCTAATATCTTAAATCTCAAAATAAGAAGGACTTTATAGGAATAATCCACATTATCTGTTAAACTGGAATCTTCAACATCTCCTACTTCAGTTGCTCACCCAGCATCCAGTGGCTTTGTGTTCCACCTGGGCCCTTTGTACATCCACTGAGATCCAGATGGCCTCAGTGTCAGTCCCAAACCCTTTCCCTCTCACTCAGTTATGCACATGAACTCCGGTGGCCTCACGGTGAGAAGGTCCCCAGCTCCCTGCAGGAGCAAGTCCAACAGCCTGGAAGCTCCCTGCTTTGCACTGGCTGCGCTGGATCGTTCCTGAGCCATCTGACATTCGATGGCGCTTCCTGAGGGCAGATCCTGCAAAGTCCTATTCTAAGTAACTTTGTCAGGATGTTTTTGGGTGTCTTGGAAAACAGAGAGAGCCATTCATCTTCAGAGACTCTATGAGAAGTGAGGCAGTGTTACAGACTGTGTTTTCCTCTGCACATCCGATGTTCGCTTTGGTACCTGCAACCCATCTGTCACACTCAGAATGGAGCCAACTGCTTGGCAGTCTGCTACAATATTCTTCATTTTTGTTTGCTATTAACCTTTTGCATTACTAGTTTAGCTGCTGATTGACTATGGTTTCTTTTGTAGAACATGGTAAGAAATATTTGGAAAACACCCTATCAGTGACATAACTACATACCATTTCAAGTGGGTTTTGTCAGTGTTACCTTACATAAACAGTATGCAAATATCCCCAGTTTCCTCCACAGGGAAAGTCTTTGTAAGACACATCTGTTTGTAGAAACAGGGCTCCTAAATGACAGAGGTGGGCAGGGGAGACTCATGCTAAAGACTTACCAGTTGCACATCAGCAAACTGTTAAAAAAGAACCTCTCTGAACACACAACTTAGGTAACCAGTGGCAGAGAAAAAACACATGATCAGCTGTGAGCTACAGAGAAGGAACAATGTCTCCAAGAGGAATACTGGGGCACACAAGACAGAGAATACTTTGGATGTAATTAGTATAGGAGATCGATAATCAGGATCCCTTGGCAAGAACAAACAGAGCTTTGAGGATTGAATCAGGACTGGCTGACAGCAAAAAAAGATTGAATCAACTTCTGCAAGCAAGAAATGTGGCAAAACATATAAGTTTGTTTATGTGATGATTAACTAAATCATTGTAGTAAAAAATTACCAGCCTTTCTAGAATAGTATATAAGCATATGTACTCCATAGTAAATTCAGCTTCTGATCACCACTCAGTCTCCCCATCTCTCTCACCATCGCCAATAGAGGAGACTGAAAACAGCCTCCAGGTAGGTTCTCTGGGGAAGTTCAAAACTCCATCCATAGCAGCAGGCACCCAAGAACCTTTAAAACATGCTCAGAATCTTTCAGCAGTTCACCTCAATCAACCCGTGGTTCCTCTTGGCTGGTTCTTGGCTAGTCACCGGGTTTTGCACACACACAACCCTTGCCATGGTTCTGACGTTGCTGCTCTGGGGTTAACACAACACTTCACAGCCACCATCCTCTCCTGGCACTCTCCCCACCTGACCTTGGCAGTATTTTAAAGCAGGAGTGGGACACAGTCCTGCACTGCCTCAGCCGTGGTGGGTTTATTGTGTGCAGAGCAAAGGCAGCAGGGGCAGGGTTCCATGAAGTGCAGGCTTGCTGATGCAGGGGGATCTCCTCAAGGAGACAGCTGCCTGTGCTCCCCCAGCTTCTGCCCTTGGACAGCTCCTCTCCTTTAGTCATCCAGAGAAACAGTTGGCTGCTATGAGTATGTGCCCAGGGGAGCAAACACTGAGGCATGTTGAATAGCACCTGCTTATAAGAAGTTCAGAAAACAAGTACAAATGTACCCTCCAGCAGAGAAAACATAATGAGAACTAATACAAAATACTGATGCTGCAGTGAAAATTCCCTAGTATAGGTGATAATCTCTTCATCTTATTTGAGTATGAAAGTCTTCAATTTCCTAATAAACAGAAGGTGATTTCAACTCCACCTATTCTCTGTATGACACCTCTTTGCCACAAGAGTGCATCCTTGCAGCTTGTACCAGGCACACCCCTCTTGCTGCAGCATCAAGGTACCTTAAATCTTGAGCTGCCTTGTGCCAGCAGCCCTGAGCACAGCCTCTGATAAGTAGCTGTTTGCAAGTGCTTAGTTTGATAGAAAATCTGGTTTATAGTGTAGTAAATCAATGGGATGGTAAGAACATGTCTTGTAACTAGATTTAAGATAGGTTTTGTATATTGACACACTAACAAAACACTGCTATAAAGTCAGTATCCAAAGCAGTATTGAAATATCCAAAGCAATATCTCTGGCCTACTTTCTTAGGATTTCCTTGTTACATCACCCTTTCCCTAACATGCTAACAACAAAAGAATAACTACCCTAGTAGTTTAACTCGCAATTCCTTACCAGGTACTGGCCATGTCTTTGTCAGCATTACAAAAAAGTGGTTTTGTAAATTAGACTTCTCAGCTGATGATCTCCAGGCATGCCTCTAGGAATAGGAACCAAGGTGAATAGAAATATCACAGTATCTGAAGTGTACTCTTGATATTACACAGTCTCACACACCCAAGACTATGAGGCTTGTATGTAAACCAGGCAAAGGGAAAACTGATGAAAACAGAAGTCTTCTCACGTTTTCCCCTTCTAAAAGAAGCTGTTCCATCTTTTTGTGGATTTTGACTTTCCCACCTGAGCTTCTTCACTCCTGTGCTTGCCCTGCACATTTGGGTACAGAGTTGGAAATCTAAAGAGAATGTTGAGTCGAGTATTTCCTACTTTGGTCAAAGAACATTCTTGCTGAGATCCTATGAACTAGCAGGAGCAGCACGGCTGATCCCCAGACAGGCTATTTCATTTCACAGATATCTTTCTGGAACTTCACTGCTGTCTTCCTAGAAACCACTCCCTCTGAGAATGATCTTATACTTTACAGAAGTAGAAGCACAATTACACAATTTCTCCATGACGACTGCCCTGTAAAAAGCCACTATAAATAATCCCTAGCAATCCCATTTCAGACATAAAGGCTCTACAGATTATGCACTTATTCCTGATAATTGTTCCTGGGATGATAAACAGTTGCATTGGTTTGATTTACAGCCACTCTGTACTGTTGGACTCTTGGTAAGGTCTCACTGCCTGATACTTTGGAGACTGACTGGTCTAGGAGCTGTGCCAAAGCCATGGGGACCCAGACAGCTGGATCACTGCCCCAGCTTTGTCACACACCCTGCACGTGGCACCTCACAACTGCTACATGAGGTCAAGCAAGTCACAGAGCCTGCTGGTGCCTCCCTTTCCTTTCCACCTGTCATCTGTCTCAGCTCTTTAGACTCGGAGCTCTGCAGAACAAGGGTTTCTTCTTACAACAAACTCATTCAAGATCACAGGTGTGGTTTCTAGACACAACTGCAGCACAATGGGAAGCACAAAAGCAGAGCTGAGCTATTGTCTGAGACTGCCCCCAGCACGAGGCTGGGGAGGCCAAAGAAGTGCTCTCAAAGGATGTGTCAAGGGCAGAATTCATGACAAATAAGATTGCTCATCTGAATGTCAAAAACAAATCAGTGTGCACATTATAGTCATTAAATTCACTTCAGAGGCAGACAACTAATGTGATACACACAGTTGTGGATAAAGAACAGACAGTGTAGTCACTGAAATCATCTAACTAATAAATACTATGGTGGCTGTTCTAAGTTTCTCAATGACCTAAAAAGATTTTTGTTTTCACCTTCTTAAAAAGGAAGGAAGAAAGAAAATGTTTTTGCAGAAAAAGGAGGATTAAACAGGGAGATCAATACCTGGTTAAACAGATACATACCAGAGAAAAATACTTATAGTAATAAGTGGTGGTTATAAATATGGAACAGTATTGGATGTGAAAAGAGAGGCAGGATATTGGTGTGAAGTGGTGGCACTCCTACTAGCAAGAAGACAACAGTTCCTGGATAAAAAGGCAACAGAGAACAGCACTTTAAAAAACATTACAAAAATCCCAAATTTCTCATAGGTTGAAGAGGTGACTACTAGAAAATACGAACAAGAATCTGATCCCAAAACAGATATAAATATGTCCCAAATCTCACAGAAGAGATTTTTTTAACATCTCAGTTCAAAAACTCTGAAACGGTGACTTTTCACTCATCAACTGATAGGTTCTCCATCAGTAAAACAGCCAGTAGAGGATAAGGAGGTACTCTAAGTTTAGAGTAGTCTGATTAGCAAAAGGAGGATTTCCTGCATCTCAGCAATTGAGAATCAGCTGCAACAGCTGTACCTGCCAATTACTGGGTTTGGACTTTTAGGAATTAGGAATTATTATTCTTTTATCTCACATCACTAACAGAACAACTTCTTGTTGTAT